TATATTCCAGTTAATGGGATATTTCCCATTCATTGGAAATCCTTCAGAGTATACTGTCGATGCCACACAAGTTATTCCTCAATTTCATTCTATCTCACATTGTTAATGGACAGTTAATGCTTACAGTTAGTGTGTCGATCTTCACAACCAGACTGTAAACTCTTCGGAGACAGAAATTGTACTTAATGCTTCATTACCCTTTGTAGTAATGAGAAAGTCTGTGGATCTAGGTCAACTTGGTTATATTAGTTTTACCTGGGGAAGATTTCTGGGTCTCAGTACTGAAAGTACCTGAGAGTGTGTATTTTTTTTTCTTTTTTTTGAAGAGGTTTTTTGCTATAGGGTACGTGCCCTCACTAGAAAGACAGAGAGAGACAGAAAGACAGAAATCACCTGCCGGGAGGATGGCCACACTGCAATCCCTTCTCCTCCATTCTCCTCTTAGGATCTTGGGCACACATGCACATGCACCCAGCATGAGTTTAAGCCACCAGGTCTGGGACTCAAACCGTGGTTGACTACATGGGAGTCCAGCGACACTATTCTTGGGTCTTTATGGTATATTCCAGTTAATGGGATATTTCCCATTCATTGGAAATCCTTCAGAGTATACTGTCGATGCCACACAAGTTATTCCTCAATTTCATTCTATCTCACATTGTTAATGGACAGTTAATGCTTACAGTTAGTGTGTCGATCTTCACAACCAGACTGTAAACTCTTCGGAGACAGAAATTGTACTTAATGCTTCATTACCCTTTGTAGTAATGAGAAAGTCTGTGGATCTAGGTCAACTTGGTTATATTAGTTTTACCTGGGGAAGATTTCTGGGTCTCAGTACTGAATGAAAGTACCTGAGAGTGTGTATTTTTTTTTCTTTTTTTTGAAGAGGTTTTTTGCTATAGGGTACGTGCCCTCACTAGAAAGACAGAGAGAGACAGAAAGACAGAAATCACCTGCCGGGAGGATGGCCACACTGCAATCCCTTCTCCTCCATTCTCCTCTTAGGATCTTGGGCACACATGCACATGCACCCAGCATGAGTTTAAGCCACCAGGTCTGGGACTCAAACCGTGGTTGACTACATGGGAGTCCAGCGACACAGCCATTATGCTAACTGCTGGTCCCGGGAGTGTGTGTTTCTTAAAATCTCCTGATTTATGTTGCTACTCAGCTAGTTTGGAGAACCATTTTTGTTATGGCAAGTAATCACAAAAAGCTTCCTGCTTGTGATTCTGAGGAGACAAGAACATATGCTACTGCATACAAGGCACTGTGTCGGGTGCCCTCCAGGTATGGGTCTGAAAAGCCCAGCAACCCATTGAAGTAAATACTATCATCCTTATTTTTATGCACGGACAAAATGAGGCACAGAGAGCTTGCGTACCTGGAAGTAACAGCGCTGGTAGGGTTTAATCTCTCTGACTCCAGAACCTGTGCCTTCAAAGCCACCCACGCTGCCTTGATATTGGCAGATTAGGCAATCATGTGATCATCCGGTTAGTAACTCTCCTATTGGTGGGGTGATTACATTGTGCAATATAACCCATCTCTTGAGATCCTTCAGAATTCTTGGTCATTAAGGGTTTTGATTTCTCTGTCCAAAGTTTAACCTCACTACAGGGTTTAACGTACATATGAGCAGAAAAAGCTGGGGCAGTTGGGAGGAGAAAAATCATGACCACACAGTCAGCCTCCTCTGAAAGGGGAGCCAAGGAGACCACCCCACAAATCCCTTTGCAGGGATTATCTCATTGTTTGCAATTTCGATCGCTGTTAACTGATAATCAACCAGTGAAGGCAGTTTGGCTGATGCTCAGAGCTGGCTAGAAAATAGTCATTATTTTAAATGTTTCATTCTAGCCTTCTCAGAGTCCCAAGAAGCATATCCTCGTGCCATAAAAAAATATGTAATACTGCTCCCCTCATCCCTTCCCTCTGTGTCAGGAGAACATGCACAACTTGTAGCAGTGTGGTTTGGAATTCTGCCCTGCATGCGAGCTGCATGGGGCTGCAGGTGCAGAGGGGGCAGCTTCTGAGCCACTGCGTTAGCTTGGGGCCATGGCCTTGCCCTGAACAGTAGGGGACTGGGAAAGCAGATCAATCACCAGTCCGGAGTAAACCTTCTTTTCATTTAACATTGGTCTCAGAGAACTTGAACACACCTTTAGGAGAAATTGCCTCACCCTTCCCCAAGTGATCCTGATGGATACTGACGTTTTTATGATTATTAATAAAAATCTTCAAGACAGAATTTTATGGGCACACAGAGACTCTAAAAAGTCATTCTTTGCTTTGGAAAATTGTATATGTTAAGCATGATGGAGGAAATTTTTAATAAGAATGTTCAAGTGGAAAGTTGGGGTGGAAAAGATAGAATTTGAGGGAACTGCTATGGCTCCTTTTAACATCGAATTTGTTTCCTGCAAAGGCCTTCATAGGATGTGCTTCCTGAAGATAGAGCACTCTAGAAAGTGTCTATGATGTGAATGTCCCAGTGATGGTTTTAGTATAGGTGGGTGGCCAGAGTCTCTTTGGGAAAATGCGTCGCTAAATATTCTTTGGTTTGTTTTTCACCATCTGCTTTGCTTTCTCCTCTTTCCTCTTTTCCTCTCTTCCCAACTTCAATTCTGTCAACATACTTTTTGGAGTTTCATGGATCTAGTCACTGAAACTGTAAAATCAAAGGGACTTAAAAAGAAGCTCCAATTCCTTTTTAACCCCAAAATAAGAACGAATTGAAAAATGAGACAAACATGAGGGGCATGATGAGTTAAACATGGATGCATCCTGTGCGAACAGGAAGGGCAGAGCACCCGACATCTGGTTAAAAGTCAGCTTCGTAATTCATGCAGATATTATGAAGAAAATTCCTTGGTGAAGCCTGGACAAATTCAGCTTCGCTCAATGCAAGAGAATCAATCACATTGTTTCTACACACAGCCCTTCTACAGAAAGCCAGGGTAGCTAGAAGCAAGACTGAGTGCCACCTGTGAAACTCCTCCACTTGTTCATCACCTCTGCCTCCTCCCCATCCCGCTCTCCTCCCAGCTCTGGGACCTTTCTAACATCCTCATTTAAAGTCTAATCCTGGAGAACTTGGTCATTGCCAGCATATAATGACAGGTTGGTTAATTAATGGTATGCATTCAAAAATGGGAATAGGACAAACGAGGCAGCTAATTTTGATAATGAACAGATTCGAAGTCAGCAGATGACAGTGTCCTCTGTAATACAGCAGCCCTGTTTTTGTTTGGATTCTGTGTTAATTTTAGAAACTGTAAAACACAACATGCCAAATTGGTTGATTGAAATAGTGCTACTTCCCAGAGGCTAACAGTCTGCTGTCTCTTGCAAGAGCCTAGAGGTTGCAGAATGAGTGCTTACTCAATTGGAGGCAAAAGCCTCCACACCAACTGGAGAATTGAGACGGCTGTCCTGGCAATTCAGTGACTCAGTTCCTTGGGTGCTTTAGTGTTTCGATGGTACATTCTGTCTGCCTGTGTATTCCTTCATTCTTGTGTTTATGCTGCTATTTATTGTGTGATTGGTTCAGTCCTCTTTGCTAGTTTAGACCGGGACTAAATTTTGATCTGGAATGTTGCCTTTTTAGTCAAACTTACATAGAGTAGTCTCCCTAAAGGCCTGTCGAGGAGCTTGGTCATTTCAAGTAATCTACAAATATTTATTCCTGAAAGGATATTATATTTTTATGGACCTTTAAAAACCAACACGATCTACTTGTTGGTTTTTAAAATGAAAAAAAAAAAGAAGCTACTTGTTGGTTTTTAAAATGAAAAAAAAAAGAAGGAAAAGAAGGAAAGAAGAAAGGAAGAAAAGAAAGAAAGAAGGCAAAAAGAAAGAAAGAAAAAAGAAGAGTGGAGGAAAGAAGCAAGCAAAAAGGGGAAAAAAGGAGGAAAGTAGGGGGCAAAAAGATGAATTGGTTTGTAATTTTAAATTCAGGCAAACTGCGAAGAAACACTTACCCTATTTTTAAAATAATAAATACTAGCTACGAACTTGTTGAATTTTAAATCATATGATAAAGTGGTACTTAAGTAGGCTATACACAATAAAGATAAACATTTTTGCTCTCGTGGGATTTCTATTTAAAAGTAGGAAAGATTATTTTAACAGAGCATCCCATAATAGCAAATACAGTAGCTCACATGAAATTATAAATGTTAATTTTTGAATCACATTTTATAAAAGCTGTTATTGAGCATGGTTATATATGTCGGTTTCTTGTAGAAAGTCTCGCTAAAATTAAACTGTGCACTACTAGTTAATGAATCACAACACTGAGTATAATATAATGGGAATTAAAAGAAGCCTTTGCTTTCGGGGGAGCTTTTGCTTGAGAGAAAAGTCCCTCCAGAATATCAGGAAGATACTTCAGATAAACATTCAGAATTACCTCCTGGCTAAGCAAGAGTGCCAAGAAAAAAAGAAAAATGAAAAAAAAAAAAAATCTGAGCCAAGACCCCCATGGCAAGTGGAAAGGATTTGGAACAGCTCGTACTTTGGGCTTTTAGCTGTTTTGCTGGGTTGTTAGTTATTTCATATGATTTGTTTTATCCAAGAGCAGTTCTGGATTTTCAGGCGTCCTTCCTTATTGCAAAGATAAATAAACAGAAATTCAGACATTCAGGGAGAATTTGACTTTTATTTTCTTCTTCCTTGCTAGAACTTATTTGGACCCCCTCCCCCCTCCTTTTTTAAGCCTTTCCGTTTCATGTTAACTCTAAAGAAGAGAAAGAGGCATAAAACAAACAGCAGTCAGAAGCAACCACCCTTGCACCTTGCGTTAGGGCGTCCTGCGAATGTGTTTAGAAATGAAACCCAACTCTACTTTTGCCTTAATGAGCATTTAGGAGGCCCTACTATCAGGCCATCGATAATGAGAAAGAGGCATGGTTTTGATTTACTATTGTAGTGTAAATAGATTTAGAATCCAGTGAAATTGTTTTGTTCTAATTCCTCTATCCTTTTTTCCTCAGTTCACCGACTTCTCAAAGAAAGACTTTCCCCAAGTAGCTGGCGGTTTCCCAGTATGATAAGGCAAAATAGCGAGAAAGTTTTGTTGTTTTCTTTGTCCTGCCTTTCTCCCACTTCAAGAATCTGAGGCCCCATGGAAATCCTTGGAGTACACTTGGCGAGTATGGACCCTTGTAAATGAAACGCAAATCAAAAGCATCATTTCAACTGGCTCCTTCAGGTTCTTAAGCAGAAGAATGTTCTGATCAGTGAAGCCATTTCAGGGTCCGAAATTAGAAAGTCATAAAAAATATCACACTCTCCCTGGTGGGTAGTGCGTTTAATTGGTTCCGCAGCAGGATTCCAGCTGTAAGTCAGAAATGCTTTCCCTGTAGATCCCTGCTTCGGAAGGACTGTGCACAAACACTACTAAGTAAGAAATCAAGCAAACGGAAACAGGAAAACCAGAGATGAATTCAGATATAAATAGCCTAAGCTAGAAAGAATAATCAAAAGAAAAGAAAAATATATGAACCCCAAATTTCTTTAAACCCTCAAATGTGTGCACACCACACAAGATCAGACAGCAAGATTCTGTGTTTAGATCAGCTTGGACCAGTATCTCTGCTTAGGACTCAAGTTATCCTTCCTATTAAATCTGGCTGCAGGATGTTCTTAGGGAGAAAAAGGACTGTGCTCACACACTCCTGACTGTTTGGGACTTGTCTTAAAGACCGGCCAGAGCCTTGATTTGCAGCCTACTCTTGGCCTCAGCTCAGCATTCCAGTTTTTGTCGGGTTTTGTGCTCCCAGAGTTTGGATGCTGAGTAGTTGGGACGAACTGCATTACACGGCGGGACTGCTTGGCCCATGGAGCCTGATGCTCTGCTGCCACCTTCTGTCCCAGCCGTCACGGCAAGGGGTGACTCTGCTCTGGGATGTCCAGAAAACTCTGGGACTGATCCTTTCTGCTTTTGAGAATCAGGTTCCAGGGAGACTGCATATTCTGGAGGCAGAAATAGCCTCTGTTCCTATCTACCTGTGGGCTCAAGGCCTTGGGTTTTGGCTTTTTGAAATGGCTTCTTCCAGAGCCAACATCAGCTTGATGCTTACTGCATTCGCGTAAGCCTGCCCACTTCTCCCGATTAGATCTCGAAGATTCCATAGGTAGAGGGGTCTGGAAAATGAAGTTGAAGGCAAAGACAGGGCTTTTTGTTTTCAAACGTCAGCACGCTCTTGTCTAAATCATTGCCAAAGACAAATGGGATGAAGCGGAGGAAAGGAAAAGTGAGATTGAATAGCAGGAAAAAAGCCCTGACAGCAAGATCTATGGCTCCGTGGAGAAGTGTCCCAGGGGTGAGCTGTTGGTTGAGATATTTAAAACTTGAGTGGACAAAACATTAGACCTTCACCATGGGGAACAATTATACAGCAAACTCCTGGGACCTGACCCTTGAGAGAACAGAGGTCCTTCCCCACTCTAATTTTTTATGATTTCTCAATTGACTTCCCATTCTATAAAAAGTATTCTGTTGCTGCGGAGGAATCCAACTGCTTTGACATTCAGTTTGAGGTCAGAATGGTTTCAGCATACTTTCATTTTTGTGCAGTATTTAAAATCCCCCTACCTCTGCTTTCTCTGAGCCAAAGAAAAGCAAATTCACATAATTAAGCCTATTAACATGTTTAGGCAGGGAACTGGGAGTCTACCTCAACAACTGGCCAAGACATGGATCTCAGAGCACCTGAGACTTGCTGTCTGGCTTTTGGCAAACACATCCTCCTTCTTTTAAAAAATTATTTCTTTAAAAAATTATTTTATTTAATGTTATTCATCATTATTATTATTTTTTGAAGATTCTTTTTTTTTTTGAGACGTTTTTGCTATAGGGCGCGGGCACTTGCCAGACAGACAGAGAGAGACAGAGAGATAGAAAGTGAGAAATCACCCCCCAGAAGGGATGGCCACTCCGCAATCCCTTCTCCTCCATTCTCCTCTCAGGATCTTGGGCACGCACACACTTGCGCCCGGCGTGAGTTTAAGCCACCAGGTCCGGGACTCGAACCACACTCGGCTACATGGGAGTCCAGCGACATAGCCATTACGCTAACTGCTGTTCCCATCATCATTATTATTTTTTATTTTGACCAGAGAGAGAGCACGCATGAGAGAGAGGGAGAGAGAGAGAGAGAGAGAGAGAGAAAGTGAGAGAGAGAGAGAGAGAGAGAAAGTGAGAAAGCAAGCTGCCAGGTCCGGGACTTGAACTGCAGTCAGCCATGTGGGAGGCCAGTGCCTTAACCACCATGCCACCTGCCAGCCCCAAAACACTTCCTCCTTTGAGTCAGTGGTTTTGGTTTATTTGTCTCACTGGTCAGGATGGTGATATCAGATGCCCACTGGGAACATTGTGGAAAGACTGCAATGGTGGGAGAAACAGCTCCATTTTGTGCTCATTGCCAATCATCCCTTCTTAGTGTGGGTTTTACCCTTCTCAGCTTGCAGGCCTGGGCTAGAACAGCAGAAGGGTAAAGAGAGGTGGGATGCATGGTCATGTGTTTTGCTTGGAGGTTCTCCCTCTCTAGGGTGACTTGGCTCAGACATCCAATTGATAATTATTAGGCTCCTGTTAATTGCCAGGCATTGAGCTGGGAGCTGGTGCATCAAAGTGGAAATGAACAAAGACAGACAAGAAAACAAACAGAGTCCATGAAGATAAATCTCTCAGCGGCTTTTAGCTGTTCTTAGGGTAAAGTATAAAATCCCAGATTCTGGAGAGCCTCACACGTTCTGGGCACCCTCTCCAGGCTCTGGTGTCCCATTAGGCTGGGCCTACTCTTTTAATCCTGGTGAGCTCTCAGCACCTTCCTGGGTGCTCAACCCCAAACGCTACTGGCATTCCTCTTGCCCCTTCACCTAGTCTATGCTTCTTCTCGTCTTCTAGTTCCCAGCTGAAAGGTCACAGACACAGAGATGCCTTTCCAGACCTCTCGGCCTGGGCCAGGTCTCTGGAGTATATGTTCTGCTGGCTCTTGCCCCATGTCTATCATAGGACATGCCATAAGACAACTTGTGAATCCAAGCTCAGTGGTCCACTCTCAACCTTCACCTCGAGAACATGCTCCAGGCAGTCAGCACGTTGCCTGTCTTGTTGGCCTTGGCTTCTCAGGGCCTGCCACCGGGCCTAGCTTGGAGTGTAACTGTTGAGTGGATGAATAAATGACATGTCAAATTAATGAAGTTCCATAGCATCAGTAAGTGTGAGGTGCTGTTGCAGAAGTAGAGATAATGAATTCCACCTAAGGCGTGCTTCCTAAAGGAAGTGACATCTTACATAAAAAGAGGAGCCCTGGGGCCAGCAGGTGGCGTAGTGGTGAAGGTGCTGGACTCCCTCATGGCCACCGCGGTTGAGTCCAGTCCCAGCAGCTTGAAACGCACACTAGGTACCTGTGTTTATGCCCAAAATCCTGAGAGGAGAATGGAGAAGAAGGGATTGTGGCGTGGCCATCCTCCCAGGGAGGTGATTTTTCACTCTCCCTCTCTCTCTCTGTCTCTCTGTTGAACACATGAACCCTATAGCAAAAATCTCTCCAAGAAAAAGAAAAAAAAAAGAGATGCCTTGTTGAGAAAGGTCTGGAGCAGTTTCTACAGGGTACTACCCCATCCTCTCCCACCCACCACCCATTGCCAACCAAGGAATAGAGCTACTTTTAAGTTTCTCAGTATAAAATGTTATTACAGTAAGAAATACCAAAATTTGTAAATGCAAAGTTACCCTCCTTACATGCATCCTGTCTTGCTGAGAATAGACCCTTGTTCCCTTCCTTGCTTCCAGACTTTTTTTTTTTTCATTTTTCTTTTTTTTTTTTTTTAACACTTTCACTTCATGAAATTCTTTTAAATACTTTAAAAATTTTATTCCCAAAGGTAGATGGACATTGTCCTAGGAAGGAGCCTGACTCATTCTTTTTCTTAACTGGGAATCTTGGACAAGTCTGGAGGAGTTTGTAAACCATCAGTAACTTTTGAGGAGGCAATTCTGAGCCCTGGGACACAGGATTTGGTCTGGAGAGACCTTGTTCAGCGGGTGCAGCTGTTATTGGTTCTTGTCACAAGGAAGATCGAAAAACAAGACATCTCAGGAAATCTTAATAATATGGAGAATGTAAATAGTCTGAAAGTATATGTATTCAGTAACTCCCAAATTCAGGGGTTACCCCCCCAGCAACTACACACACACACACACACACACACACACACACACACGCATACACACACACACACACACACACACACACACACACACTAGTACACACTAGCCCAGCTGCTGAGTCTCTTAATTATGAGCAGGCTGGCATGGGACGGGAAGAGTAATAACCAGAATTACATTTGTTGGATGACTGGCATTAGGCTAAGTGCTCTAAGTCTGTTGTTTCAGTCCGTTTTCATGACAACCTTGAGAACTAGATCCTGCTACTGTTGGTGCCGTTTTACAGATGAGGGAACTGAGAGTCACAGAAAGCAAGTGTCTTATCCACGGTCAGCAAAGAAATGAGTATCAGAGCTGAGACTTGAACCCAGAACAGCTAGCACAAAAGCTATTAACTACTAAGTTATTTTGACATCTGACTCAGTTTAAGAATTCAGACTGGAATATGGAATCAGAAGTTCTAGTTCTTTCCCCTCTTAACCACGGGAGCCGAAAATACTTGATTTTCTCTGAGTCTCAGCTTCAACCCTTATAAGTGAAGATAAGTCTCATTGTACAGAGTTGCTGGGATTACTAATTGGAATTTTATGTGAAAGTAATGTGGGGTCTTCACAAAGCTCATGGAAAATGCATGTGATGAAAAAACTAGGCATGAATTTCATTTTTTTAACCAAAATAAACTCATTTTAATTCCATTTTCTATGAATTTTTCCAAGTCCCTTCATGTTCATTCCACTCCAGTACATTCTACCACTCTCATGAGGGCCTCCTCCTCAATTTTACCGTGGCACTTTGCAAGATAGCTTAGGTGCAACCTAAGTTGCCGAACCCCTGAGGAGAATAAACACTGAACAATAGGAATTAGCCACATCAGAGTTGGGTGGGTGGGGGTTGACAGCTAGTCTTTCTATCAGGCTGCCTACTCTAGCCCTCAGTCTCAT